GGCTAGACCGGGGGGGGGGGGCTGGGAGCCAGGACTCCTGGGTTCTCTGCCCAGCTCTGGGAGGGGAGTGGGGTCTAGTGGCTAGAGCAGGGGGGTCTGGGAGCCAGGACTCCTGGGTTCTCTCCCCAGCTTGGGGAAGGGAGGGGAGGGGGGTTATAGTGATTAAAGTAGGTCACTGTTATTAACCTCCCAGGGCTGGGTTCTATTCCCTGCTGTCTCACAGACTCCCCATGTGACTTTGGGCAAGTCCCAGCCTACGTGCTGTGCCTCAGTTTCCCCACCTGCACAAACGGGGTCAATGACACTGAACCACCTCCCACGGCGGGTGTGGAGGTGGCTGAGAGCAGCCAGGGAAGGACTGACCATGTCAGCACCGTAACTGGTGCCCAGCAACTCGCAGAGCACAGGCATGGAGCTGGGCCCTGCCCCAAGGCGTCTGCAGTCCGGCTGCTGCCCTGCGTGGGAATGCCATAGGGGGGTAGAAAGCTCCCAAAGCGAAAAATAGAACCCAGGAGTCCTGATTCCCACCCCACACCTCCTGCTCTAACCACTAGATCCCACTCCCCTTCCAGAGCTGGGGAGAGAACCCAGGAGTCCTGCCTCACATCCCCCCACGCGCTAACACAGCGCCCTGACCTAAGAAGCACTAGATCTTCCTTCCCCATTTCCCCCCCATCTCATGACTTGCTTTAATGTTGCAACTCTGTCCGCTGGATAACCCAGCCGGTCAGGTCAAGCCGGCGTCTCCACCTGCCAGCGCCCCGTCCCCTCCCGCGTGGAATCCTTGAGGTGGATCCATCCCTCGGTGCTTCTCCAATGACGGATTTCTTGGCCTCGTTAGGTTCTCCCATCACCCCACGGCTAAGGGAGCTGGGGCTTTAATGCTAGGGTAGGGGGCAGTATGTGGGGGGGGCAGTGGTATCTCCATGGCACTACTCGCTCCGTGGTTGCACAGGTCGTCTGTTTGCAAGGTTGCCCATCTGGCACCGCCCAAGGCCCTAATTGGGGTTCTGGGCAGAGTTGGGGGGGGCGGGCCGGCTGGTGTGGGTGGCAGCTTGGATAACAGGGCGTGCCTGTTTGTCTGCCTCTGCTCTCGGGTTCGCCCAGGAGCAGGACTCCGGGCTGCCCGTCCTGGTGGGTCAGCGTGGTGCGGAGGGGCACCTGCCTAGTGCCCTGGGGCAGAGCCAGGAGCAACTGGCACGGGAGGGGCAGCCGGTGTTGGCCTGGGGCTTGAGGTGGGAGGGAGAATTTTGGTTGCTGTCCCATGGCACAGGGACCCCATCCCCCTTCTGCCAGGGCACCCTGATCCCTCCCCAACAGACTGTATCCCCTCAGCCCCCCTTTGTGAGGGTGTGGAGGCTGTTTTTCCAGGCATCCCTTGCCCGATGCTGAGATGCAGCTGCCTCTGGGGTGGCGTGTGTTGGCTGTCTATACAGGGATCCACCATAAGGGACGTGTTTGTCCCCTGCAGCCAGCTCCCCAATAACTCTACTCCTATACCCCATCAGGGAACCCCAGAGCTGGGTCCCCCAGGACCACCTCCTAGCCTCCCCACTAGGAGACCCCCAGAGCCAGCTCCCCCTTACCCCTGCTCCCAGCCCCCCCATAACTCTGTGAATTTGAACTCTGCCCCGCAGGAGTTGCCTGGCCTCACTGCTGACGTATCAGGCTGTGGAAATCAGAGCTGTGTGGAGCTGACTCAGGACAACAGGAGGATCTGACCCGCTCACAGGCCAGCGCCCCACGGCTTTCGTTTCCCCGTCCCTCTCCCACACGGCCGGGAAGAGCAGGACGAGGATGGGGCCGCGCGGCTGGCTCTGCCTGGTGCTCCCCTGGGTGCTGTGCCAGGGCACCAGCCGCACCCAGCCCGAGCAAGTGCATCTCTCCTACCCAGGTGAGGCTGTCGGGGCCCCGTCTCCAGGCTGGGGGACCTGGGGGGAGGCTGGGAGCCCAGCTCCATGGGGTTATTATCACTGGGCCTGGGGTCCCCAGCTTTGGGAGGGGAGTGGGGTCTAGTGGTTAGAGCAGGGGGGCTGGGAGCCAGGACTCCTGGGTTCTATTCAGCTCTGGGAGGGGAGTGGGGTCTAGTGGTTAGAGCAGGGGGGCTGGGAGCCAGGACTCCTGGATTCTGTCCCAGCTCAGGCAGTGACCACTTTGTCTCGCTTCGAGTGAGTCCCTTCCCCTCTCTGTTCCTCAGTTCCTGCAAACTGCAAACACTTCCCTGTCTCAGTTCCAGGGTGTTGGTGAGATGGGGGAAGGTTGAATCAGTTTCCCAGGCAGATCCAGCTCCTTGGAAACCAGGGTCTGGTTCCGGGCCTGGCCACAGGCCCATCCGGAGGGTCGGAGCCAGAGGATGGAGCTGGAGCTGGGTAGGAGTGGATGGAACCAGCTCTGTGTGGAATTGGCCCTCGTAGCACCTAGACAGAGCCGGTGTGGGGAGCGGGCTGGCGTCCCGGGGAGGACTCGGGCTCTGAGCGCTCACCGGGCTGTTCTAACCCTGGCAGGCGACCCCACCGCCATGACCGTCACCTGGACGACCTTCAACCGGGCCGGCTCCATCGTGGAGTTCGGCCCAGAGCCGGGCGAGGTCTTCACCACCTCCGCCAAGGGCCACGCCAGCCGGTTCGTGGACGGCGGGTGGTTGCGCCGCAGTATGTTCATCCACCGGGTCACCCTGCGGGGCCTGGCCCCCGGGCAGCGCTACGGTGAGTGGGGGCCCGGCTGCGGCTCCTCTCCTGGCAGTGGGTGGGGGCCCGGCGCACTGCAGACTTCATCCGCACCGAGCCACCAGATGAGGGACAGAGACATGGGGGCAGGGCTGGAGAACGGGCTGCACACGGGAAGGGGAGACCTGGGGACACGCACTGATGGGGGGGGGCGCCCAGACACCCTGCCATGCTCCCTGACGCCTCGTCACGCTCACATGTGCCCCGACACACACACACGCCCAGCCACACGCGCACGCACTGAGAGGTGGGGCACACACACAAGCCCAGTGTCACCCAGCAATATCCACCATCACCAGGGCCAAATCTGTGTTGGGCCCAAATACACCCCAACCCCGAGCACTCAGCCCCCCCCCCACACACACGGCAGGGGGCTAGGGTGACCAGATTTTAAAGAGATAGTCCCGATTTTGGGGTCTTTTTCTTATATAGGCTCCTATTACCCACCACACCCTGTCCCGATTTTTCACACTTGCTGTCTGGTCACCCTACAGGCCTCTGAGTCTCTCCCTGCTCTTCCCCTGTAGCTTATCGCTGCGGGAGCCCCCTGGGCTGGAGCCGGGTCTATGGCTTCCGGGCTCTGCAGAATGGCACCGACTGGAGCCCGCGTCTCGCTGTCTTCGGTGACATGGGGAACATCAACCCCCAGTCCCTGCCCAGGCTCCAGCGCGACACGCAGCAGGACATGTACGACGTGATCCTGCACGTAGGTCGGTGTCACGCCGCGCTTCCCCCAGGTTCCTGGGATCGGGGCTGGAGAAGGGACGGGCTCAGGGGGCGGGGATGGGACACGGGGCTTTTTCCTCTAGGGGGCGCTGGTGATCCCTCCCCAGGGCAGGAGACTGGCTGGCTCAAGGGTCGGGGAATGGGACATGTGGCCTTTCCCCTTTAGGGGGCGCTGGTGATCTGGTCCCAGGGCAGGGACTGGCTGGCTGAGGGGGCAGGGAATGGGACACGGGGCCTTTTCCCTCTCGGGGGCGCCAGCTCCCATCCCATCCATGTCAGGAATGACCGACAGTCATCCCCATCTCTTGACCCGTTGGTGCCCCCTGGAATGAACTCGCTGGGTCCGTGTCCAGGGCCCACGTCCCCCAAAGTACCGCTAGGGGCACTAACTGCCCCCCTTGTTGGGGATCTCAATTTAAGGAGCGCCCCTCTCCCCTCCAGAGATTAGGGCAGGATTCAGGGGCATCAAGCCAGCACTGTTGGCTTAATAAGTGGGGGGGGGGGGTAACCCCCAATCTGGGTAAAATCTCCCCCAGGCCACCCCCTGCCCCCAGGGCAGAGCAGCCGATTCACTGTGATCCTCTTGTCTTTCCCAGGGGATTTTGCCTATGACATGGACCAGGTAAATTCTGTAGCCGCGCTGCCTCCCGCGCCTACCCCTCTCCTCCGGCTGCGCCCCATCCTGCTCCCCTCCATGTTCGGGGGGCTGGCCCCACTCGCTGGCGTCTCTGCGGTGGAGATCCAGGGCCGACGTCGGGAGGGGTCCCCCCGGAGAAGGGGCCGTGTGCTCAGCTCCAAGGGTTTCTGGGCCCCCATGAATGCACGTCCACCTGTGTGCGTCCCCACCCGGCCTGGTCGGGTATCTCTCCCCCGCGTGTCTCATGGACTCAGCGAGGTTGACAAAGCTGCCCCAGCCCTGGAGCTAACCCAACTGGCAGAGGCTGGCACGTGGGTTTGATTCCCGTACACGGCGACTGGCCCAGGAGGCCGGTATTCTGAGCCCAGGCCCATGGGAGATTGGAGCTGCCTTGGGACGTGCCAGGGAGCTGTGTCGCCTACGATGGGAATTGAAGCAACAAGGGCAGGCGGGTTGGGCCCGTCCACCCCACCCCCCATCCTTGCCCTGGTGGCCATGTATGCAAACCCACACGCGTGTTGCATTTGCACACGGATCTGCCCACCCATTTCCATGCATGTGGCCCTACAGTCCCGCAGGGTACACACAGCCCCCAGGCATGTAAATGCGCTCCGAGGGTGCAGCGTTCCCGGGCGCCTCGGCTGATGCGACTCTCTCTGGGGTGTAGTGTAACGCCAGGGTTGGAGACGCCTTCATGCGCAAGATCGAGCCCGTCGCCGCCTCGGTGCCGTACATGACGTGCCCGGGGAACCACGAGGAGAAATAGTGAGTGGGCGATCTCGCACAGGGTGCCTATGGGCGCGACGGCTGGCTCTGCCCCTCCCACACCTCAGCCACCCCCCAGCTCTCTCCCCTTTCCCCACCCCACACGCTGCCCGCGGATTCCCTCCCAGCCTTGGCCACTGACCTCTGCTGGGGTTTACCCTGTTTCCCCGAAAATAAGACATCCTCCGAAAATAAGGCCTTGGGGCAAAGTTGCCTCTCTTTCAACTCTTTTTGTTCCCCACGCTAATAAATCTACCCCGATA